AAATCATTGTAACTATGTTAGTCTGAGCCAAACTGGGATAACATTTTTAAATTTTTATGTAACTCAGTTTTTGTAGTTTTGACGTTCTTGTTTCAATACTTTTTGTATCGATAAAACTTTCTATATTACTACAGCTAGCTAGGTTACGTATATGTCAATCCCTGCTTGTCTTTATAAAATCTTATTATATGTCCAAAGTAGTGCATTGTCTTTTTTATGTGTATATATATACACACACATACACACACACTGATATATACACTAGTATCCTTTTCAATAAAGGAAAAGAAAAACTGTAACCTCAGACAGAAGAGTTCTGTGAAAGAAACAGTGATAAGGTTCTTCATTTTTTCCGTATGCTTGTCTAAAAAAGTCACTTACTTACTTAGATGAAACTTCATTGAAACAGTAAAATTTTGATTCATTCCATAAACACGTATATAGATTTAGGTGGCTTTATAAGTACAATAAGCTTTAGTTTTCCTCAGCCAATACTGTGAAATAGTCATTGTTAATATTCAGATATTTTAGAGGTTAAACAAGCAATGTTTATGGCCTCCATTTTGTTTCATCACAATCCCTACTACTAAGTACTACTGTACTTAATGATAAAGCAGAAATCACAGAACAAATTTTTATTTTCACCTTAAACTAAAAATAACTATTCATTTCATTTTTCCCACTTCTAATACCTCTCACCCAATATTTGTAAGAATGAGCAAGATGTCAGATATAATGCAAATAATGGAATTCTGTTGAAAGGCCAGTGAAGATACCAGTTGAGAGGCTGTCATATTATCAATATTTTATTTCTTAACCAAATGTACCGAGCTATGTAAAATGTTCTGTAGAGTCATCACATAGGTAAACATGATCCTAAAAGCTTGAAATGACTCTGAAGCACCATGGAAGCAAAATAAAAAGTAGCAAAAGCTAAAGATATTCTTTAAAAAAATCAATAACAATTATTATTTACAAAAAAATGTCTATAATAAGTATGAAGTATCTCACTAACAGTTTAGAATTTGAAATTAATGAAAACCATTATCACTAACCTTTTCTCCAAAAAATGCTTTAAGTTTCTGAAGTCGATGAGTGCTACTAGGAGTTGACTGGTCACTGAAAGTTAGAAACAAAAACAAAACAGCTACAAATATACTGACAAATTATATCAAACAAAAAATGCACACGATTAGTCCTGTATTAGAGTCACTAAGAACAATGTCGACAAAAATTACTTAAAAAAACACTAGCAGAAAATCTAATTGATCATCATTTCAAATTTTGTAAAATACACACACAAACCCATTAAAATCCAATGTAAAATATACAGCAGCAAATGTTTTTAAACATAGAGGATTATGTAAAGTAGTCTAGTATTTTTCATATATCTTAAACTATTTTAACAGCTGTTCTACAGAGCAAAACTATCGGTTGAAAAATGGAAAAGACACTTTTACTTAGGTATCTGAATAAAATTTTGAAGAAAAAAGAAACAAAAACAGATAGATTGCAACTGGTTAAATATCATATGACTTTATACAAACTACTTCGGTAATTAGTAATTTAATTGCTAAAAACATTCAACCACAAAAAAATAAATGTGTAAATCCATTTAATATTATTTCTTTTTTTCAGAAACCTAAATATTTTGCATTCTTTGCTAACTTTTTAAAAGTGCACACTTTTAATAGCCTCGATTTGTGTCTGGATATATTTTTAAAGTAATTTGTAATACAACAAAAAACAATACATACTCAAGCATTTACAGATATATTTTGCAGTATAGTACTATTATGATGAAACGTTTTCACAAAATCAAGCATCATATAAATCAATTCCTGAAAACATTATGTACTATTGTTTGTTTTTTTTAAATTTTGAATATTCCTGTACCTGCTGATAGAATGATCTTCTTCTTCATCACTGTACTCTAAATCAGAGTCCACGTGAATGCGTTCACCTGCTGTCGCCCTCAAATAGGAAACTCTGCGACCCACTGGCACTTCCTCACCTGACATCAGAAATATTAAATAATTAGTGTAATAACATACGAGTTCTTCGTGAATTTATATTATTCCACAACTCAGGTGTACTCATAATTAATTTACTTTTCAAAAGTTCTGTGTGGTACATATTTTACTTTATCACAGAACAACACATTGTTTGAGTAACTAGCTTTTAAAACCTAAATATTTTCATTAAAGTTTATAAACCAATACCTCTTACAATTTATCATATCTTACTTCAAAAACTCTGAATGATCTCGATAGAAGTTTATGTGATAATGATTGAAGTATTATATTTTGTAGTATTCTCAATTTCTGAAAACTATCATGATTTGGAACTTTGACATTCAGTTATTTTTTTATTTCCTAAAATCATTTAAATTAACCAAACCCATAATTGAAAGATATTAAGGTATTAAAAAAGCATCAAAAAGAAGATTTAGATTTTCATTTATCTAGTATATTCAATGATGGCTAACTTCTAAATTCCATTTCATAGTTTTATTCTCACTGTTTTCTTTTTATCTACTATAGGATTTCATTTCTTGCAATTAACAATAGGATTTTGTTTACAATATTTATTTTTTATCTGCAGCATTTTCAGATGGGGAAGCTATTCTAAATAATTAAAATTCCTTATTCTAGGTGAAAATATTTTGGCATACGTGTTTCTTAACACTTACTGAGTACAATTTTAAAAAAAAATCCTTAACTTATGACTTTAATGCATAATTCTGCTAATAATTTTTTTATTAATTAAAACAAAAATGAGGAATAAAGCACTTGTAAGTACATTACGGAATAGCAAAGAGTTTATCAAATTTGAGGGAAAACTATCATTTCACTTCCACATGTACCTGTATCTTTATTACATACAGATCATAAGGCTAATTTCCATAACTAATGACATACAGAGAAGGAATCATTTGGTTCTTAATGAATGTTCTGGTATGTCCTCCCTAAATAAGGTAAAACTTTAAACCACTCTTTTATTTTTTATTTTTTTAGACATTCATCAATTCTCCTCTAAGCTCTTGTAAAGTAAGCTTCATTAATTTTTTTTTAGCAAACTACAACAGAATAGGCTACAAGTCATAAGAAAAAATAGGCTAATATCACTAAAAGGACCTAAATGACTAGAAACCAGTCATGATAAAACATTCATAGTGTATTTTATGCTGTGTGTCAATTTGTTATACCTGTATATTATCTTATAATTACAAAAATAACAATTATTCTCTTACTGTAAAACATAAATGCATATTATTGAACACCATGAAACTAGAATTGAGTGAGACTGATACACTGATACAGATTCTGATAATAACCTTTTCAGGACCAGTTTCTTTCTCAGAGTGAAAATAATTATTTCATGAAACTTAGCATAAACATGATAAATTTTATCTAGGTTTGGATTTTAAAAATTCATACAATTTGATTCAGTATTTCTATCACTTGTTTACCTTTGATGTCAGATTTTTGGAAAACAATAAAAACAAATTTCTTTGATCTTAGAATTTCCATTTCGTTTATTCTTGACCAAAGAGTTTCATTTTATATATCCAGCAAGTTTCAACACGACTGATATTCATTTATGTATTTCTTTTGAAACTTTATGTTGCTCATTACACTGCAAGATGCACAATTCTTGAGCATCAGCTATCACGCAAATAGAGATGTCTAGTTTTGTGTTTTTTGTATTTCTAACAAAGCTATTCAAGGTTTGCCCAAGTTAGCCATCCCTAATTTTGAAGTGATAGACTAGAGGCAAAGCAGCTAGTCAACATCACCCACCATCAACTCTTGGGCTATTATTTAGCAATGAATAGTGGGACTGACTATCATATTATAACGCCCCCACACTGAAAGGAGAAACATGTGATTTGAACCCTACACTCTCAGATTGTGAGTCAAGGGCACTAACCAACATGCCAGGCCAGGCCTAAATAGAGAGACGAATCTCTTTGCATGGCATGTAAAGCAAGATGTTTTGTGTGGTAATGTGAGTTTTATATAATATTAGCTGTAGCCAAGAGATGTCACTACTGTGTGCATATCTTCTCTTTGTGTATTTGTATTTGTGACAAAGCTACGACGGCTATTACTGCATCCCTAATTTCTAGCTACAGACCAGAGATAAGGCAGCCCGTCTGCAACACCCTACCACATGGTCCATGGTAAAGGATTAACTGTCACTCTTATAATACCCCCAAAGCTTAAAGTGTGAGAAATTTTACTGTGCTATCACAAAGAATCAAACCTAGCTCACTAGCTTCAAAATCCAGAACTCTACTACAGGGCCAACCCTTGCTCATTCTCTTTATGAGATTCACATGACTTTCATTTTGTAATATTATAAATGTATATTTAGGAAAATCAATTTTATAAAACTTTATACAAAGATAGCTATTATAAAGATTAGAAAATGTAGCATGTAAACACATTTTGCACTTTTATTATTGTGATACAGAATTAATTAGTTTCAACGATATCTGTCAATTCTACTTCATAAAACAGTGAATAACAAAATTATGATACACAATTACTAATTGGATTTTGCTTAATATAGAAACTGTATACTGTCAACTGGTTAATGCTTAGCTATATAGATGTATTTCTTAGGATTTGTATTATTCATATAAATGATCACTTAAATTATGAACATTAATAAGTCTAATCATCTATACAAGCATAGTGGTTTCAAACAGTTTATGCACATCACACACACACCTTATATTGATAAGTGTGATTGCAAATATGTAGCATTACAGCAATTAACCATCACCCCTATGGTAGCTGCAAAGCATTATTGACTAAGTAAGTATTTTTTACAAAGAAAACACAAACAATACTGGACTATTTTATTACATATTTATAAAAACGGAAGCATAAGTGAAAGCAAAAATATGTAACAAGTTTTTCTATGCTGTAATAGCATGCAGAATTGTAGAGATCATAATTAAAAACAGATCTTTCACAGTGTTTTTACCTTGACTTAATGAACACAATTTGAAAATTTATTTTCAATATTTTTCTCTAGTAGCATAATCCCACCTTATTACTGAAAGCACTTAAAGGTTTTGGTTACTGACCATACCTGACAAGTACACATTCAGTACAGTCTGCATGGCTATTTATATTACTGACTTTACAATTAGCAGTAAAACTTACTGTTAGGAACTTAATGAAATTTTGTGTGTTGGATGCAAATATTATTTTGCCTATTCCTAACTCTACTGATTCTACTCGTTTATTCACGGACCCAAGGACTTGTTCATTTTAGTGTAAGGTTAAACAATGAACTGCACTGTATCCATGTGGACCTTTCGAAAGCACTCAGGTTATAGGGTTTTTATTGTTTTACTAATAAGACTTCTTGAACCTATGGATTTTTCCAAAATCAGAATTAAGTGATTTATTTTATTCCTTTGGTACCTCTCTATACCAGTACAAATAGTCTATATTTCAATATATCTTATTAAAGTTGTCTTGAAGTAGAAGCTTTTCAACTGAAAGTACAGCTGTTTTATTTCCCATTAATAATATTTTAGTTTAAGCCCAAAGCATGGCACAATAAACTGTATCATATTCACAGTAGGGTCTTAAACCCAGAATTTCATTGTTAGAATCACAAAAGCTTCCTTTTGAGTTTGCATACTATGACGTATATTTTATATTTTATAAAAATACATCATGTATTGCATATGCCTCTTTCTCTGTAGTTACCAGAAACTTTATCCTCTAACCGATATTGTGTTTGTTAGCTGATTTGTGTTTACTGGATCTTAATTAATAAACTATTCATGTAATATAATCTAAATATCCAAACATATTAACACATAAATTAATATTCTGTAAAACTTTGATCTGTTTATTCTGTAAATATCAACACATTTTATTTGTTCACTTGATCTTTCAGTGTGTTTATGTATTATCTGATATGTTATAGATTTTTTATTCATTTTTATTCCACAGTGTGTTATAAATAACAACATTAATATATTCAGCAAAAGACAAATATTAGTTAAATTCAGTTTACTAGTAATCTTAGTTTGGTTTTAATTTAAACATCCAGTAATTTGTGAGGACTAACTACAGAAAACATGTAGAGATAAATGTCAGTGTCTTCCCCACTTCTCTCACTCACTCACACACACACACACACACACACTCCTAAGAAGTTTTGCCAGAAGATGGGACCTTATGTTTCGCAAAGGTATTCTACAACATTCATGTAAAGTTTGCATTGTAAACTTAATGCCAATAGTTAGTTTGCCAACTCCATCAGTGCTCTAAATTAACAAACATTCTATGACTTTCACTCACATCCAATTGTTGATATTTAATATCTACATATCTCAAACATCTTTTATCTTATATAACTTACAGCCTATATTTACTATATAAACTGATTCTATGTTGAACGTTCTTCTTCACTATACTTTTCCTCTATATAAATGTCAAGTTGAGATTGTACTTTTCACCATTCTAAAACAATAAAAAGTGATTAAAAAAGGAGGGTCAGGTCAAAACAAATACTGTAAAATTTGTTATAAGCTGTATCAAACCTACAAAAGTGTAGTAATACAGAAGTGAAATGTAACTTGATCACAGTACATTATACTAAACAAAATAATAAATGTATGACTTCATCTGCTGTTTTAAATCTCTTTGTTTCTATATTTTTCATATATTTTTACTATATTATTCTGATTCAGAAGCTTCTTTACCACATAAATTTTTTACAAGTTTCTGTTTTTTGAAATTTAGTGTCCATTAAGCAAATATGGAAGCCACTGATTATGGGGACACTGCCATATTCACACCCTATTATTTACTCATGTATACTAACATTCTGTGTTGAAATTTCATATACAATTGGATAAATAGTTAACAAACACATTAGATTTTCAAACAAAGTGTCCTAAAGTGAAAAGCTGAGCTACTAAAGAGAATAGACCACTCATAAAACACAAAAAATAACCTTTAGAATTAAATAAGTCTGGATGTACTTTTGGTTTTGATTTTCTTACAAACGTTTGTTACAAATTCATTGAAATTTATAAATGCATAATCTTGTTCATGTAGTTATTATATCAGTTAAAAAAAATGTAATTATTTATTATTATTTTGCCGTAGTTCTTGTTGTTTTGGAGTTAATGTATTATTTACTAAATAAAATAGTAAATCTGATAAACCATACTAGTAAAGCTTTAAGATACAGATGATCTACAATTATATCATGCTGTACCTGCAACTGAATTAAAACTTTGTTTTAGTGCAACCATACAGACCACCTGCATTCAGTCCACTGCATGGACATGAACTCTAGATTTTACCATTTTATTTGTAAACTTACTGCTGACCAATCAGATAACTAAGTTAAAACCCTTTCTCACATAGTCTCACTGATTACACACACAAAAGCAAAAGAAGGAAAAATTAGCAAAGTTCTAATAATGTTTTGTAAAAAGTAATCTTTATTCTTCTTGTGTCAAGAGCTAATTATCTAGTCAGAAATGCCATCTGAGCAAAAAAAACATCTCTCAGTTATAACTGCAATCGTTGAATCCCATTAATGGAAGCGGTAGCAGGAGGTTTTTTCACATTACTAACACATTGTATAGTGTGATCTTGTAGAATTCTCATGTTGTTGTTGTTGCTAGAATCTAATTATACATCACTGCTTGAATGTTATCTTTTATGAAGTCACCTCTAAGTTATAACAACTTAGGAAAAGCTTATGGAACCACTTTACAAATACTGCTTATTCTATTTTCTACATCTGATACTGTAAAACTCAGTCTAAAAATAACATTAAAAAGCAAAAAATTATTTTTGTAACATTCATGAAAACATCAATGTATATACCATAGACTCAAACTTTATACCAAAGTTTTCTTCCACAAGACTGTTTAATGAATATTCTAAGTCAAAGAATTTTTTAAGTGTCAAACAATTGTCTTTTTAGTGATACTTTAGATTTCTATTTGTTTCATGTTAATTACAAAACATATAATTTACTCCAAAATTATCATTATGATGCCTATTAAGACCTTAATTAGCAATACATTTCATTTTTAGTTAATATACCATATACACAGCAGTAAAGAAAACTGAAGAAATATGAGCGATTGCTATCCAAGATTATTTTATATGGATGACATCGATGTATACTGTAAGATGAAATGTCTAGTCAAAGGTCTGTCAGTATGACCTAGGAAACACTGTTGAAAACAACAATACAACTTTAAACTTTTCTTTAAATTATTAAAAGTACATGAAAAAGGAATCTCACAAAACATGATGCAAAGGCGAAAAATTTCTGTGTTATAGTAAAGTACATTGAAACAGATTTCTGGCATTCTAGTCAGATCTTTAATACTAAAATTCTATATAACAATGCTGCCTAATTTAATACATATATATGAAAGTATGAACTGATTACACTGTTTTCACTTTAGAATGTTCTGACTATCAATATGTTTTCAAAACAAAAACGTTTTTTGAAGCCTGTATGACAAGTAAAATGAATCTAGCTTCACTGACCAATAGGAGGTTTCTTCCTAAGGACAACTTCTGGTGGACTTGTAGTTGTTGGAAGCTGAGGGAGTGCAGCTTTATCATCATCTACTACATCTTTTTTTACTACATCATTTGTATCTATTTAAAGAAGTGATAAACAAAATTTACTCAGAAGGTATGATTATAACTCAATGTTTTCTAAAGTCACATTTTACCTTGTAATGGTTTTTATTACATAACAAAAATCATGATAAAACTTTATAAAATAATTTTGTCAACATAAATGACTAAAAAATAGTATAGCTTTCAATTATAATGCTAGATCTGCTAGTAATTAAATTAAATACCAAGCTACACAAAATTTCTCTGAAAACAATTTTCTAAAAATAGGTCTTTTAATGATACTGAAATATATCTGAAAACACAAACAGATTACTTGGATTTTGAAAGATTAATTAAAAGTTTATATTTCACATATATTTCTTATGATAATTTCTTACTTAGATATCAAAATTTATGAGTTTTCCCTCAGGTCTTCAAACAATCTTTATTAAAACATTTTACTTGAAATATTTTAACAAGTAACAAATACTTCCAACAATAAATTGGTATGTAGTTACATGTAATTCTTAAAGTGAATACAACACTTGCTGAACCAGAGTATAAGAGATGCTTATACCTATTGGTGAGAACTTTCTAAAAATTCGTTTTTTTTTAATTCTCTCAGTGTTTTACATTGAATATATATATGCATGTATAGTCATAATGTTTCTAATTTTGAAACATATTGTCATAAAACAAAAAGTTACAAGCACAAATGTCATACAGCAGTACAAGAATAGTAATGACAACAACAGGATGAGTATTAAAATTAACTTAGTTTCTAGGAATTCTTTTAAGAAATGATCATTTTAACCAGCTGGACATGATACAAGTTTGTTTGTTTTTTTATTAAAATTGCAAATTGTGCTTTATGGTACAAGCAATGCATTATCAGAGTTATGCTGATAGGCATTAAGTTACACTTAATGAACCATAAAAGTTGAATCTAGAAATTTATGATTTAAAATTTTTTATGTGTCCATATAAATATAGAATTTAAGCTGTATTTTAGATATTACAGTCAACCATATAACTTGACCAATTACATTATTAGTATTGATCATCGCAGTGATCTTTGATCTTATCAATAACCTTTGGGTTTTGGCTGAGCAACAAATTATAAAACATTTGTGGTATTCATTAACCGAAAATTCTATTTTGATAAAAGCCATAAGTGACAACACATGCACTGTTTTGGTAGGTAATATTACATAAAGTTATTACTGCAGCCTTGCCCTACTTCCACTCTAACTATAACCTCAGCAATCAAAAAGTAACTGATAACTATCCATGCAGTTCTTGGAAAGTTAGTTATCAATGCATGCAATACATACTTATAGCCACTGTTACAGTAAATTCATGTGTATTAAAAAATTCTTCATTATTTCAACCCAATTAGGAATATTTTTTCTTTAAATGAATAAGACTTTTATGTGTGAAGTGTGTTGAAAACCAAAAAAAAATCACAATGTTTTAAATATTTCATCATTTATTCTCATAACCTACATTATAAAGTTTCACAGTTTTTGTAAGATGATATTACTGTAATACAGTAAACTACATGACTAATTAATGAAATAACCGGAAAAATTCTTTATTAGGATTCAAAAGGTTGTCAAGACCAATAGCAATCAAAAGGACATTTATGTTTAAGGATCAAATCCTCACAGGTGCCTGCATTAGCTCATACATACAAAACCTAGAGAAGAGGCTGTTTCTGAGCAAAACTGAAAGCACTGTACTGTACATATATGCTTTGGCTATCCTTGTTGCAGAGAAATATTAAGTTTTAGACTGCTACCACTCTATTATACCTACTTAGAGCTTTATAAACATGCACTTTAAAACTGTATCATAACTGACACACGTGTACTAAGTACAAATACTAAAGCTTTAATGGTTTTGCATGAGAAGTAATGGAAAGTCTTGTGATGTTTACTTTTTTTTGACTGATTAAACCATCTCATTATTGTTTTTATTGCCTTAATATGAAGCAAATTATAAACATCCTAAATTTACTGCATACTAAAGCATCAGGCTTTTAATAAATATAAAAATGTGTGGGCCATTTGAGATCATTACATTCATCGCAAAATCTTTGAGGTCACATGCCAGTTTCAAAGAATGCTCAGCATAGTATTTGCATTAAAGAATTCACAGCAGCATCTTCTCTTCACAAGTTAAAATATTTTAAGCTTCCATCACTGTATAAAACTTGTTCCAAAATATAAGTCACAAAAACTGTACATAATAAATCAGCAGATAACAAATTCAAGTTTATTCTATTTATATTTGTTTTATTTTAAGATACATTAATTGTTCTTTCTATCAAGTTACAGGTGAGCTTATCTTTTAACATATTTGTCAGTTTCATCACAGTTAATTGTAAAATTTCAACAATGACAGCATATTAAAAACCAGAATTGACAATGAGCAGACAGGTTTGAGACAGTAATAACAAACAATTACAAAATTTTACAAAATATGTTGTCATTCTTGATGAGATATAAACAATTTTGACTGTGTCAACTACTCGGTTAATTTTTTTCTTATGTGGGAAAGGTAAAATTTTCTGATGTTTTTAAATATTTCCTGTCTTTAGCGAGATATTATAATTGATTTTCATAAAATACTACAGACTCCATCCTCTAAACTGTTTTCCTTGGTTACATCTCAAAATGATTCTAAAAATAACAACAAAAATCCATAAATCAATGGAAAATTTTCATCCTCATTAATGTTTAAATTAAGCTTGATGTATATAGTAGCTGTATATAAAATTAAGCAAAATTTGCAATATATATCCAAGTTACAAAAAAGATTGGAAAATTACTTGATAATTTTAAAATATGTTACTTAGTGTGTTTCTTTCAGATGTCAAAATTAAAGTTGTTAACCGCTCCAAAAATATAAAAATTTGGTTTAATACTTAAAGTATTTTTAAAAGTCTCTTGTTCAAGTTCCTAAGTACTAAATTATAAATTACATAAATGACCTTAGGACAAACACTTTAAAATGGCTTACCAGACAAGGTTAATCGCTGTTCTTTTTCTTTATTGCTGGATAATGGAGTACCTAGACTAGAAGACAAGTTTTTCTGGGAAAATTCTTTAAATCCCTTCCATGCTGCAGGATGAGATTTTAGTGATTCCATTCGATGAGGTTTTGGTAATGCTCGATGGTAATGACTTGATGGAGTAGAAGTTTCACTGTCACTCATCACTTCTCTTTGCTGAAATTTGGCAGTTCTCACAGCCACAATAGGATGATGAGGAGACATTCTAGCTAACTCACTCTTGTGGAGATTGATACGCTCTAACTGTCTGGCTAGTAAGTAACTTGGCTCAAACTGATGACGTCTTTGAGCAACCAGATGTAGTGAGGAAACATGTTGGGCTTCCCCATCAGGAGTTGAACGAGGACTGGAGGGCTCACTCAGCGTATCCAATATCCCTTCTGAACCTTGACTTCCACGGGGACCCTGCATTGACATGGGATAATGTACAGAGCTGAGAACTGGTCTACCTGTTCTTTCTCCTCCCATGGCTAAGAGACTATGACTTTCAACACCTTCAGACATACGCCTGTCTACTGCTTTTCCATGTAATGAATTCATTGTGCTTTTGCCTTCTCTGTTTCTATTCTCTGTCTGGGATATGAAAGACTGTTCAAAAACAGGATCAGTAAGCTGCAGACTTTGACTATCTGTACAGTTGTAAGCAGTTCTATCAGATTTATTGCTTGTGACTCTAGCTGGAAGTTCTCTCTTTTTTTTGAAAACAAAATGAGGAGGCCCTTGCTGATGGGAATGAACAAGAGAACCATTCACATGACCCTCTATATCAACGAGATTCACAGGGTCTTTTAAAACTTCACTTGGTATAGGTGAAATATTTACAGCTGATGAGGGGGTTGTTTCTCTTACCCTGAGGTGACTATAATCATGTTCTTTACCAGTGTCCCTAATTATATGAGATATATTCTGACTATCAACACTAGATAATTTAGCTGCAGAATCTTGATGCTGAAACTTTCCAGTATTTTCAACTTTCTCTATTGACTCTTTTGGAGAAAAGTCATCTTTTTCACATTTTT